ATTTCATAGAACATGAAGACATGGTATCTAAGGGTGCTGCAATTTTCCAAGCATTTCTGCCCTTGTTTTCAGCGTAGAGCGACGGGGCGAGCTAAATGCGATAACTTCGTTGGCCACTTGTTCGACTTCAAATTACGAGTCACAGGAGGACTAAAACTACATAGTGACTTCATCGGCCTCTTGTGCAACTTCAGACAATGTTTCCGATACACAGCAGCAGAACCAGAACCAGAACCACGCGGTCTTCTTCTTAGTCTCTTGTACGACTTTCACCTTGTCCATTAGTCGAAACTAGGCTCTCCACATAAAAATGGACTTCTGAAGAAAAACGAAGGCCACGAGTTGGAACGTTTTTAGTTTCCTGAGTAGTTGGATCATACAAAACCAGCTCGCCTCTGCTACTTTCGATATATATTTCGCCATATAAACTGCAGCCCAGCGGCCTCTCAACTCCGAGCAGGGGTCCAATTGTGCATTCCAATTTCCATAACACCTCAGCATTCTGCTCAACCATTTGCCACACATAAAACTCCTTTTGCCTTCCACTGAAAGTATAGGCCATCAAATAAAGAGACTCCTTCAACGCCGCGAGTTTTTTGCACATTGGACTTCCTAAAACGTTTAAATCCGGCAACTGTAACTGCCCAAACGCCTCATTACGCATGTCAAACGATAAGATCAGTTCGGACTCAACCCTGCCGTATGCAATCCAATAAAGGAAACCATTCACAGCAGTGCACGAAGGTTCATAAATATCGAAGTAAAACGTATCAATCTCCAGCCAACAGTCCGTTCTCAGCGAATACACCTCCGCGCGGATGCAAGGTGTGTTCGAGCGAGACAAAGAGACAATCCTCACCAACTTATAGTCATCAAGAAGCGGGTGGTACCCGAATCCAAGAGCAACACCGGAGACCCGCGCATTATGTACATTGGCACTACCGATAAGACTGTCTGGGAGGACCCTAAATTCCGCCATGGCAGGATTCCACAAAATTATGGGCGACCCAAGATTAGCAAAAGTATCATGAGCTAAACAAAGTAACCCATTGCAAGATCCCACGAATTTCAAGTGATTGGAATCCATCACAGATGGTATCTCCAAATCTGATAACACATAACCATCTAAAAGCAGCAGAGAAATGACATGCTTACGAGTAATTTGTGAACGATATTTTACCACTAGGCATCCGGTTTTCGAAATGTTGAGACGGAGGTGCTGAGAAATGAAATGGGAGTCCCTGATCAGAGCATCCCATGCTTTCCGCACCGAGGCGAATCGAACCAGAGATTTGACGGGCAATCTGGAGAGAATGTGGAGCATCAGGTTCGCAGGAAAGGCCATATTTTGAGAGCTTGCGTCTATCGCTTCTTTTGTGAAGGGCTTTTTGTTACAAAGAAAAGCCGCACAGCCCGAAACAGACAGCCATCCGTTTCTTTTCTGGCATTTATGACGTCAACTCCAATCATTTGAAAAAATAAAACTGAAGCCAAACTGCCACGTAGTTTAATTATATTACTATTGATTTGTGAATGAGAAGATTTATGTTCAATTCTTGCTCAAGTTGAATTTGAACTATATTATTGATAGTCTATTATGAGCCTTAGGCTACTTCCTTACTTCTTTACGGGATGTAGTCAAACTTGGATTTGAGAGGATTTTAAAAAAGTTTAAAATCCTAGTGTAGTCAACCAAAGGATTTAAAGGATTTTTAGAATCGATGCAAATCTAGGTGTAATCAATCGAGGTTTTAATAGTCATTGTTTAAATTCATCAAAATCCAAGTGTATTGAAAAATTAAAGATTTTGTAGTATTTCATTCAATTGTGGATTTTGTGGGATTTGAGAGCAAGAAGTATATATAATTAAGACCAAATAGAATCCTACCTCACATCTTAGGATTTCAAATCCAAGAACCTCTCTCTTTTCCTCTAACACCTTATCTTCTTCCTTCATCTTTGCAATTTTTCTACGTTTTTTCTGCAATTTTGTGCAATTTTTTCTTCATGGCAGAGAAGGGGAATTGGAATTGGGTTGTGAAGGAAGAGGACTAAGAGAGAGTCACGAAAAACAAGATTAGAGCAATATTGACAAGGAGAGAGGATAGCTGGAACCGGATCCGATCCGAACCCAATAAAACTGAGCATGCTGAGCAAGGGATCCAAGCTGTTGAAATTTGATCCAATGGCTACAAATAGGGGGCCCTAAAAGTTATAATAATTGTAGCCGTTGGATCAAATTTTAATGGCCCAGATCCTTTGCTCAGCATGCTTAGTATATTTGGGTCTAGAGGGGATCCGGTTCCGGGAAATAGGATTGGAAAGGGTTTAGCCGGAGACTTTTGAATAGTTGGGTTTATGTGATAATCTTGACTTTTTATTTCGGCTCAAAGGGACGCATCTCTAGAGCATGAACAAAATGTAGCTTCATTTTATTTGATTTATGACCTATATACATTTTTAACCATTTTGATTTATTTGGCAGTCAAGATTCAACGCTGTAAAATCTATCAAAATGCACAGAAATCTATTATATGAATCTTTTCAAATCTTCCAAAATCAATATGGATTCATAATCCTATGAAATTCATTACTTAACAAAATCTATTAAAATCCTTTCAAAGTCTAAGATGACTAAACCTCCTTTAATGTAGATAATACTGTCCATTAAAAAAAAAAAAACTGAAGCCTGATAACAGTATTCATAAAATGCAGAAAAGTAAGGAAGTTACTTGTCTTTTTACATCATATTGTTGTATCAGTTGCTTGCCTTTTTACCGTTCATATATGTGATTAAGATTGTAAATTTAGGAAACGTAAACGCATGAAAGAAGTGGATGTTCTTATTTGCATGCATGTTTCCGATTCTCTATGCTTATAGTGGAGTTTTATACGTTTTGCTTGAACCAGACAAAAAATGAAGTAAGAATTAGTAAGAATTTTGTAAGATTACACGAGTCTCCATGGGACCAATAAGTTTGACACATGACCATGACCAATAGGACTTGTTTACGAGAACTATAGTGCTACCAATGATTCAATGAATAGTAATTATGATAACGGTATAGGCGTATTAGATGGTGGACTCGATACCTACTGCTCACATCATCATCAAATTACTTTTCAAAATCTCATTCGTTTTTTACATAATCACTCTCTTTAAGTTTTCTTAAATCGGATCTTTCAAATCAAACCAATTTGTTCTTTAAACTAAATTACGCGTAATTAATATTTTAAATTAGTTTTAAAACAATTCTAGTGAATACGATCGCGTACTTGCATAGCTATATACTACTATTGATTTGTGAGTTTGTGAGTAGCTTAATTTGGGTCTTTTGAACCTTCTTAGGTGTTCAAAATTCTACATCATCCTCTACATCTCAACCACCACACCCTACCATTGAAATAACCACCATACTCACACCATTGCCATTGCCATTGCCATCACTATCATTGTGGCCGTTGCTGTTGTCACCGCCACCACTTCACTACCATAAGCTTAAAGCACTCCACTATTTTATTTTATTTTATATATAGTTGATTATTCTTAAAGCACAACTGAATCAATTCATTTAAGAGAAAATACACAACATATTTGCAAAGTCCAAACTGCCCCTTATTCATGTGTTTACTAACAATAAAAAATCCTATTAAAGGTTTGTTTATGTCATAATCATTTTTTCTCATCCTTATACCATGTAATTATTTAAACATGCCCTCAAACCATAAATACTTTCCACCTAGCTGTAATGGCCACTTCTCCCTCTCTGCATTTGCAACATTATACATTTATCTGAATTACTTTTATAACACATTAGATTACAAGATTAAGGAAAGAATTGAGGACGATACGCAATATATATACCTAATGATGCACGTCTCCCAGATTATATTAACTCCAAAAGCTATCTTTATGCAGACACCAGCGGTGAAAAAGAAAGGCAAATCAAAATTTCAAATATTGGCGTTCACTAGTTTAAATTGAATCCTATAGACGGAACTTTGAGTGCCGTATACAACCTAGCTTCCAAATTTTCAAATAGGGCAATAGAACTATTCTTTGGGGGTCTCTTTTTCTCTGGAAAGGTTTTGCAAAAAGTAAATTTACAAATTACGAAATCTTTCAAAGATTATAAAGATCAGAATCCTTCGCAAAAATCTATGGCAGGCTTTACAATCTTACAACTAAAAACTAGAGAATTGTTACCCAAAGTAAGGAGAACTTTTACACGAAACAGAAAAAACATTATGTGTAAGTTTTTGTCCACAAATTCTTATTTTATTGGCATAGAAAGCTATTTGGCAGTGTACTATGTATTCATGTCACGTAAATCATTCTTCTACTTAACAAGAGGTTCTTCCAAGTATTAGGAGTACGAACGACAGCACCATACGTCATAATGTAAGCAAAAACGTAACATCCCACATCGCTTAGGGGAATGAAACCTGTAAGCCTTATATGTATATTCTCATCTCTACCTAGCACGAGGCTTTTTAGGAGCTCATTGGCTTCGGGTTCCATCGGAACTCCGAAGTTAAGCAAGTTCGCGTGAGAGCAATCCCATGATAGGTGACCTACTGGGAAGTTATCGTGTGAGTTCCCATAAACAAAACCGTGAGGACGTGGTCGGGGCCCAAAGCGGATAATATCGTGTTACGGCGGAGTCGAGCCTGGGATGTGATGGGGACCCGGACCGGGATGTGACAGAAAAGAAGATATATTTTTATGTGTCCTTAATTTTGTATTTATGAAACCTGGTGCACTGAGTACCTTCAAAAAATCACTCCTACCTTAAGTAGAAATAATTCTTAGACAAAACAAAAAAAAAAAACAAGTAGAAATAATTGTGACCATCAGTAGTAGAATACACGCGTAATCGTTGAGAAGGAGTTCAATTTGCATGGTTCTCTCAACCGTACAAGTGGGATGGATATTGGCATATATCTGTCAGGTATTCGTACTTATAAGACAAACAATAACAACAGAGTGATAACTTGCTTGCTGGTTCTCACAACTCCAATTGTACTCTCTCTCTCTCTCTCTCTCTCTCTCTCTCTGTTTGGCAAACACGCAAGATTGAGGTCAGTTCAATGCTCGTCAACAGTGCTTATAATCTGATGAGCTACGTGTATCCATTCACACATTTCATTCGTGTTTTATTTGATCTCAATGTTTTAAAGGAACAGACACAAATTTGGTTTTTGTGTTTCGTACCCGCTCTTCAGCTGTAATGCTTTATGCTAATATTTATTTGGGTTCAACGCTATGTTTGGTTAGAAGAGCTCAACTAATTCATTTATGTACGGCGTAGCGGGCTGTTTTCCTTCAGATTTTTCGTTCCTTGTCCAGTTGGGTTTTGTTGATTTAAGTTTACCTTATATTGGTTGATGGAAATTTTAATCCGAATAGGAACTGCTGGAGGAGTTTCAGATTTATCCAAGCGTAGTGGAGCACCTGTTTGAGAGGTTTATTGCTATTATTTGTTGCTGTTTGAGATTTTTAATACTCTCTCTCTCTCTCTCTCTCTCTCTCTCAACTCCAATTGCATACATTGACAGGTAGATTTAGAGAGAAATAATAGAGAGATGGGGCAGAAACAGATGTGTTGTAGTACCAGTATAGTACAAGGGTTGAAGCCAGTGCTGATGATGTTGGTGGTTCAGACGGCATATACAGGGATGAATATATTTTACAAACTGGTAGCGGAAGTTGGCATGAGTTTAACTGTTCTCGTTGCCTACCGTAACATGTTTTCTGCAGCCCTTATGCTTCCTCTTGCTCTTATATGTGAAAGGTTCATCAATCATGATCTCTCTCTATTATTTTTTCCCCTTTCATTGGTCCTTAACTAATTTATAAACTAACAGGAAGAGCAGGCCCAAACTTACCTTAGATATACTGCTTCAAGGTTTTCTCTCCGGATTATTGGGGTAAGGGTGCTAAAACATATTCAAAATTATTGATTTTGGTTTGTGTTTCTTTATTTATTACTTTCCCCATTTCTTAGGATTTGGATTGTTTTGGATTTATATCCTAACCTTACCTGTGTTTCTTTATCACATATATTGTATTTTAATTTACTTAATGACAATGGATTTAGAGGAAATTAAGATGTGCATTTTTTGACTGAAATCTTATTGAGTTTTAATCTTTCAATTTCAACCTAATAAGGTTTCTTTAAGATATAGGTAAAGCAAGATCGTAACCAAAATATCCTTTAAATTTATTTCCTAGCATGATTTTTTTTTGTTTTTGTATAAATTCCTCCCGAATAGACACGAACTAAAACATTAGTTTGATGAGTTTAATTGTATTTGAGCTTTTTTTTTAATATTTATTTTAAAAAAATGTATAAATACGTTTTTGTTGAATTATTGCAGGGCAACAATGGCACAAAATTTTTACATAGAGAGCTTAGCCTTAACATCAACAACATATGTTGCAGCCTGCAATAATCTTGTTCCAGTAATCACCCTCATTATAGCAGTATGTTTTAGGTATTTGTACACAGAAGTAATTAAACCGCATTTTCAGGTTTAATGTTGTTTTATTAATTAATCTTTGAAATTAAACTCATTTAATTTAGCTGATTAGTTTGGAAATTATGCTGGTAATATTATAATTAAATAACAGGCTGGAGAGCTTAGCACTTGGAACACATGCAGGAAGGGCAAAGGTTGTGGGGACACTAGTGTGTATAGGAGGGACCATGCTCTTCACGTTCTACAAAGGAAAACCTATTGCCATGTGGTCAACACACTTTAACCTTTTACGTAACTGTTTGCATGAAAGCAGCCACGTGGCATCACTGCATAAAAACACTCACACTCAGTTGTTGGGCTCCTTTCTAGCACTCTGCAGTAGCACCTCATTTGCGTGTTGGTTGATATTTCAGGTTCCATTTCACACAACACAGTTCTCATCATATCTGTAAATGTGTGTATATATGTATGTGCGCGTGTGTGGGTATATAGCCATGCATACTGCATGCATGTGTTTCGCTTAATATTGTGTTTTAGTAATTTGGTGTCTATATACAGACGAAAATGACGAAGAGATACCCTTGCCATTACTCAAGCACAGCTCTAATGTCTCTCATGGCATCAATTCAGTCTGTAGTATTTGCGCTTTGCAAGGAGAGGGATTGGAATCAATGGAAGTTGGGTTGGGATATCAGACTTCTTGCTGCTCTGTATACGGTATACGCGAGATATCTATACACAGTTCGCCTCGATCAAGGAATAACTAATTTGTCAAGGCAACTAAATTGTGTTCATCTATACTTGTGTGATGTAGGGAGTGGTCACGACTGGACTCGTAGTGACTCTAACTGCATGGTGCGTACGAATGCGAGGGCCGTTGTTTGTGTCAGTTTTCAACCCACTTTGCCTTTTGCTGATAGCCTTTGCTGCGCCTTTGTTGCTGAATGAAAAATTATACCTAGGAAGGTACCTACTACCTAGTGAGGTTTCACTACAAAAACACTTAATATATATATATAACGCTGGTTAACTGTATAGGAGAAAATTAATAACGGAAGTTCTTTTAACGTTTCTATGTATTCAAACTGCAGCATATTAGGAGGGCTTCTAGTTGTATGTGGATTATACACGGTGCTTTGGGGTAAAAGCAAGGAAATGAAGATGATGACTCAATTGCCACAACCACCACTTCAAGATCAGCACTCCCATTCCATTGACATGGCAACATCTTCAGTTCACACTACTACTTGCGATAGCAATGCACAACCAATGTCAAATGCTCCAATGAACAATGGACTCAAAGAAAACATTGAGCATTAACTAGCTAGTTAAAAAGAATAATGATAAGTAATGGGATTTAAGACTTAATAAGAGGATCGGAAGAAAACTCCTTTCCAAATGTCTACTACGTACCTATATCCATTAATAAACAATAATGAGAAGGAAAATAATAATAATTAGAAGGAAAAACCAGAGTGTCTATTCTTCTCACTGATCTCTTCTTCATTTGACTATTCACTTGATAATTAATTAGAATAGCGTGTGATCTCCATTACCTTTCAATTGACGAGGCAGTGAGATCTATAATCAGATCTCTGTAAAGTACGATTGAAACCTCTTTTCAATCCACCCAAGTGAATATGATATAGTTAACACATAAGATCTCGCAAACTAGGAGTGACACCTAACTTCGTATCATAGCACACAAGCCAAGATAGAATGGTCGAATAATCTACTCAGTTGAAATTACAATGTATTATGTTCTACAATGGATTGAGTGATTGCATGTCAATTGCTCATGTGATACAATAATGATTCTTTATTTGTGATTTAAAACTTTGTTTATAACCACTAAATTCTATGACCAGAGACTACTAATCTAGAAGTACAAACTCCTTGCATTATGAAGGTCGAATATCCTATATTGTACATTCTTGACTCTGGACTCAAACTAAAAGCGGAACAAGCCTCTTGGAAGATATATAATCATGAAGATTGTTGATGCACAAAACCGGAGGAATCTTGGAACAACATAAATCCGACTGTGAATCTACAATAAAGTAAAGAACACAAGATGTATTGTGGTTCACCCTAATGTTTGGGCTACATCCACACTAATGTTGATATTGTTTCACTCTGAATGGTGAATATACAAGAAGACTAAAGGCAGTGTGCTCTCTAGCCTATTTTCTGTGTTTGCCCTCTCTGAGATATTTTCTCTTCCCATGGCCTAAACCTTGATCTCCGCTAATGAGGAGAGTGAGAAGTCCTTTTATAGAATAAGGGCTCCTCACTTATTACATATTTGCCCCTTTATTTATTACATAATTACATTTGAGTCCCCCCGAGTATTTATACGAGGTCTAAATACGGAGGCCCTAAATATGGTACAAACAAAGATCAACAACTACCTACAAGCGAACTGTAATGCCTCTTACTGACATGAACATATACATCTCTCATGTGTGTGTGTATATATAATTTGCAGTAATTCTTTAATAAGCACATGCGTATATGTTTTAGAGATAACACGCGATAACTTGAGACATGTTATTCAACCGAATTTATTATTCGAAATAGGTATGAAAAATCCCAATTACAAGATTTACAACCTCGAAATATTTGACTCATATTATTTTGGACTAATTATCGTAGAATTAATTCCACGTTGTCTTAACACATGAATTAACTCCACAAATAATTAAAATGAAATTTGCCTTATGGCATGCTTTCAACAATATTTTGTCGCGGGAGATATACTTATGGAATAACAATATTCGTTTTCTTGTAGTATCAGAGGACCAAAGGAAATAGAACTTGTTGATCAAGATCAATGTAGTGGTTTGTAGTGTTAAAGGAGTACATGAGAAGGGCCTTGTTGCCACGTACGTGAGGGTTTCGTTACTAGGGTGTATTCATAAATTTATATTTTAATTGCATATATTAACTGTATAATATAGTAGAAAAGACAATTTCCGTTGTAATTTTTTAAGTTGGGCGCAGCGATACAAAACATGAGTTTGAATTTTTTTTTTATCAAAGTCTCTGATGAACAAAAGTTTAGGGAGAGATTGATTGCTCTCTCCACCAGCGACAGCGCATACCCACAATCTTGAGCTGGAAAGACTTATGCATGACACCTAATTGTCAGACTTATGTGTGAAACTTAACTGTCAGCTGTTACTGGTATGGATTTATATAAGAACTTACAAATTGCGTGCCAATGGGGACTACTGGCAATGGGACTCGGACAGTAGTGGACAATACACAAGATAGGGACCTTACCAACTGAGGCAATCTTGGCAAAATTTATCAAAATCTAAATTATTACGAAAGAAATTAACAAAAAAATAATAATCAAACGGATAATTCGCCAAACGACCTACTTCATTAGTATTTTTTTTTAAGGAGTGAGTATTGCATATATAGCATTTTCCATTATCAATTTACTTCATTGACGTGGATATTTATAGGGACAAAGTCTATAAGTCGTCTGAAGGCTAGGCAAGCCGATTGGTAGAGCAATTCCCTAAATGGGTGGAGGATATCTCTCTCTGAAAGATGCATTGGTAGATGGCATCCGGTGGTCGATCGACCTAATCTTGGACATGTAGTAGGGCAAGTAAGAGATTTGACCTTGATGGAGATTCTGTAGAATGTTCCACTGCTTACTGAGGTGCCCTGTGGGTAGGGCTGCGAGAGGTGACAACTCCTTCGGGGAAGGTCGCGATGCCTACATGTGGGCCAAGTGGTCTGCTCACCCCGTTAGTGGTAATTCCGTTATATTTAGCTCGCAATCCACTTGACACACTCGAATTGGGTGTCATATGGCCTATACAAGAATTAATATAAATGAAGAACATGACTCCATATGAGACACTGCTAACTTTCCACCTTCTGCACAATGGTTTGTCCTTGCCACCTTTAGGAGGGGAGAGAATTAATATAACAATGGCAAGGACATGTGGAGACATAATTATGACGCCCAATTAGACCTATTTCGAATGACTTACTAACTGGGAATTTTCAGATCTATTTCGAATGGTTGTGTCTCAGGGTCAGGGATTTCGTAATTTCGGCAACCACTAAACGTGGGGTTGGAATGTCTTTCCTATTGTCTTTAATACATAAAAGGTCTTCAAAGGGCATGAATTTTATCATAAAACAGTTCCGCGTACGATAGTAGATGAAGTTGTGAGGTCAGTGTTATCAATCAAGTGGTTGATAAGACTCCTGCAAATTCGAGTGCATTTAACATTTATCAATACACCAAAACCAGTTCGAATCTCACAAGTGGTGAGTTCGCAACCAATTTATTCTCCATCACCTTGGTGTAAATATGTTGTTGTATGGGTAGAAGTAGAACGATTAATATTCTCAAACAAAGTGAACTATGAATCAAAATCATAAAGGTCTTAATTATAGATGTAGAGCTCATTTACTAATAAGCTAGTATGATCATTACAATGCAAATGGTCTCACTGTTGGAGTTTGTAGGATGAAAAACAAAACATGTACAAACTTTCAAGATCTTTAATTTTAGGGTTGAGGTATTCACTATTTGAGATGGAAATCTTACGTCTTGGAGGGTCTTCCTCCTTTGCATGCTTTATGGGGGATGAACACCCTTTGTAGCTTTTTTAGTTGCACCTAAGTCATCGGATGAGTAGGTTGCCTACGTACTTCGTTTCCAACGAAGATCAAACCGCCATAGTTCACCTCTAAACCTAAAGTGAGGATGGATGAGGAGCAAGAGTATTAAACTAGGACACACTCTTGCTCAAAGGGGAAGGATGACTTTTGGTGTTTGTGGTGGTGTTTTCACTCTTGTAGCTTTCTCTTTGTTGAGACTTAAAGAGAAACTCACACTTGAAAAACTCTCGCATTTTGTTCTTAGTTAGAGAGAGTGTATGTGAGGATGAGAGTTCCTATATCTCATAAGGATGAGTGGAAGACAACTCTCTCTTCTCAAGAATTAATGGGAGGCAACCTTTTACACATGCATGTCTATAAAGAGGGTGCGCGATCTTAATCCTAAAATAGGGTGCATGATCTTTTAGGTTCTCATTGACGAGGTTGTGAGATGAAATAGAATCTTCTAATTCTTTTGCTGGATTTAAAACTCATATTTTATTTACCTTTTTGTGAAGACAACTATTGTAACATCCCATATCGCCTAAGGAAGTGGATCCTCTAAGCCTTATATGTACATGCCCACCTCCATATAGTATGAGGCCTTTCGAGAGCTCGCTGGCTTCGGGTTCTGTAGGAACTCAAAAGTTAAGCGAGTTCGCGCAATAGCAATCCCAGTATAAGTGACTCATTGGGAAGTTCTCGTGTGAGTTCCTAGAAACAAAACCATGAGGGTGTAGTCGGGGCCCAAAACAGACAATATCGTGGTACGGTGGAGTCGAGACTGGGATGTGGTGGGGGCCCGGACCGGGATGTGACAATTTGGTATCAAAGCCAATCCTTGGCCAGAAAAGTGCCGATGAGGACGTTGGGCCCTTAAGGGGGGTGGATTGTAACATCCCACATCGTTCAGGGGAGTAGATCGTTTAAGCCTTATATGTACATGCCCACCTCCATATAGCACGAGGCATTTTGGAAGCTCACTGGCTTCGGATTCCGTATGAACTTCGAAGTTAAACGAGTTCGTGCGAGAGCAATCTAAGGATAGGTGACCCACTGGGAAGTTCTCATCTGAGTTCCCAGAAACAAAACTATGAGGGGCGTGGTCGGGGCCCAAAGCGGACAATATCGTGCTACGGTGGAGTCGATACCGGGATGTGGTGGGGGCCCGGGCCGAGATGTGACAACTATGATCGTCTTCGAGGATCTCATAGACTATGAGAGACACATAGGCCCATGGTATGGTCCCCCAGTCAATTTACTATATACAGGAGAACCTATTATGTTACAATTACAATGTAATACAATCCAAGTTAGCTTCGTCCGGGCTAGTTTTTATGACTTGGTCATGTATAGAAAGGGTTTCCTTAGGCACAGACAGGTGTTGTTGCTTGACCGAAGTGTTGTAACATGATCATGCACTAAGTTGATCTCCTCTGATGTAACCATTGCCATAGAGGTTGAAAATTTCATCAACAACATATGTGTGAATACCATGGCCTTGAGATCATTGATGCCTGTGCGTCCGAAGATGACATTGTATGTCGTTGGGCTATCAACCACCAGGAAGTTAGTGGTAATGGTAGCTGTGTAAAGGCCTGTACCAATGGTGAAAGGTAAGTGTATGCTCCCCAAAGGTTGCACGATATCACCGGAGAAGCTTATCAGAAGGGAAATCGAGCGATCGAGCAAGTGTTCAGCTACATCAAGTGCCCTAAAAGCTTCAGCAAACATGATATTGACCGAATCCCCCGTGTCTACCAGGATTCGTCGTACTTCAAAGTTGGCTATGTGAGCTTCCACAATCAATGGGTCGTTGTGAGGGTAG